GTAAAGGTTTGTGGAATGAAAGTTCAAAAGGGTGCTGTTTTGTTTATCATAAAACTATTGTTCCAATATTGAGCTCAGTATTTACTTGCGATGCAAGCATAGGGATAGGCATGTAAAAGCTTATACGCTGGATGGAACGCACGGACATAAGGATAAGCATATATGCATAAGATTATCAAAACGTTTCCTTCTTTTTATGCTTATACTGTCTAGTTAAGACTTGGTTGGCATAAGGGTAAGGATAAACATAAGCGAAAGTCTTTCAGGCAATCAGCAAGCACTATACTGCTTATACCAACCATGTCCCTATTTAACGTAACATCGACTGAGCGCTTGTGCTCATGTTTATGTTGCAGCTGAGCCCACCTGCACATTAGCTTGTTATGTTTATGCCTATGCTTGTGTTGCAACTGAGTACTACCCTTGAAGCCTGTTTCGCACTTCTGAGATAATTATTAGCACAAAGATGAAAACACAAGTACAAGGATGTTCACACCACTCTAAATTTTTTTTTCCGAATTCTTATTGTTAGTCAGTGGATACTCAAAACAAGGATTTTTTCCTTATTTTGTGAGTCAATTCCTTGAAATGTAAGGATCAAGATTTCTGCTTTAGAGAATTTTATACTCTCCAATGAAAGTTCCTCAGTTTAAGAATACCACCATTAAAAATAAGATTTACATTCCTTGTTTTAAGAATTATGACTTTGAATTCTCATTTCAATGGCATTTCCACTATTGAATAAATATTTCAAATCCTTGCTTTTAGCAAGTATTCATTCTATATAGCCTAACCACACAGGTGAATATTGCTTTTCGCTCGCACTGATTGGCTTGTTCTGAGGTGATTAGGCAAATTATATTCACTCTCGACCACCCAACGAGAAAGCTTCAGTCTCGGCGAGGGGGGAATGCTTTAATTGATCGGGGAAGCCATGCCAGTAACACAAAAATGGTAAACAATTGGTTGACGTGATTTATCAGTAAATTAAGGGGTAAGTTTTTATGGAAGCTGTGGGGCTGTGTTGGTAGGGGAGTAAAACACGAAAAATTTAGTTTATTCAACTGAGGTGATAATGTAAATGGCAACCGTAAAGAGTTTCAAAGCTGACGTTTCGAGCGTTAGGCCTTCGTCATTCGCTCTGACGAAAGGCCAACGCTTGAAACGTAACTTTTGAAACTCTTTACGACGGCCAATTTACATTATCAACTCAGTTGCTTAAAACAAACTATCTTATTCAGCAGTAACTTCTTCCAACTTAAAATTTCAAGTGAAATTTAAATCTAAAATGCTTTAGAGCACAAAGTACCTTTTCAGTATGGAAAGTGAACGATGCAATTGTTTTGCGCATGGTTTAACCAAAAAAACCAAATTTACGGAAATTGAAGAAACGGCAACGAATAAATCAAGTGCCTGCAAAAGTTTTATTTATACACTGTAAAGTTTGGCGAAAGTCTCTGCAATAAGAATTATCTTACCTCTACTCGGACAGCACTTGCTCGCGTGTATGCATTACACGGTGTGCGAAATTTTTATCTTTCCGAGCATTGGACAGAGATAAAGTAATATTTTTTTTTTGTTTGCAAGGTATTCAGCTGGTATGGTTTATATTTACGTAATTACTCACCTCGGTGTTGCATTATAGAAAATAATGAACGCCATTAAGTGTTTTTCGTTTTACAGCCACCCAAGAGCTAAAGGTTCTTGTTGACTTGGCCTTGATCTCTGCTGGTGAAAGTGATATGGAAACTGACCGCATATCCAGTCTACATACCAGCTGTCTCGGTTTTGCTCCTCTGATATTTGACCTCAAAGAGAGCGAAGAACAAAGAGTGAACTTTGGTCAACTGATGAACGCCTGTGATCCTGTATGGAAAGCAGTCGAGACGGATAAGATGTTACCCGAAAAACTGGTAAAAAGTTACTGGGATTTCTTACATGCGTTAAATGCTTTGAATGCTTTTTTTTCCAGACATCTTGTTTTCCTTTACCTCTTCAACTTCGACAAAACGTGTTTCACCAAATTTGGAATGCTCTGATCTGCTTTACTGTCTTAAAATCGAGTATTAAGTTGTATACGTACTGTCTATTGTTTTTAACTCATTGTCATGCACGACAGCAAACAAAAGGAAAGTGGCAGAATTAAAGAAGGAGGCCGGAGGGCCTGTCCCCCGCTTATTTTGGGTAAAAAAAATAGACGCATAAGGGAAAGAAGTAGGTGGGTGAACACACGCAAACAAAAAGCCCCCCCCCCCCCCAGCTCAAGGTCTGGATCCGCCACTGCTAAGTAAGTGGTTATGATCCCCGACTCCTTTACTTTTCGTAGAAAGACACTAGTAGACATCTGGAATGGCTAAAAACTGTTAAAGAGTCCCACGGTTCGGTTGCTATGACATCATTAGTGCAGGCCAAGACCATCAACTCCAGTGGGGTATATGTTGTTGGTCACTTGGACACCAAAAAGGGTCCGTCACCAGAACAAGGAAAACGATTGTCATTCAAAGATGTGATCCAACTGACGCTTCCCCTTAAGAATGGACGTGAAAAGGAGCAGAAGAAAACTTACTCTATTGACGAACTAAAGGATTTGCAGAGTAAACTGATGTTGATCGCAGGAAAGGCTGAAAAAGGGAAGGATGACGTGGAACAGTTTGTGAGGGTAAGTTGAAGTAAAATGTGGATAGTTATGTGTCGAAGTTGTCGTTACTTCTGACAGAGTAAAGACTTTTCTCTTTAATTATAGAATCTTGAAGGTGTAATGCGTTTAGCGACTGCGTACATCAGTCTCTTTGAATGTGGTTACATTCATCGCATGGATTGGAAACAAGAGTTTCACTGTAGCAAAGACCAAGTCGCGGGCGAATCTATTGCGGAGGATCTGGAAAAGGAAAGCTCCTTCATGGAAAGGTGTTACATGAACTGGAAGAAGAGGGTCAGTGATGCAAGGAAGGAGTATAGAGAATTGAATCTATTCACAACACAGCAGTTGATGATATTGAGGAAGGAAATTGCCACAGTTTGCCACAGCAACGACCTTACTATGGGCAACACCCAAGTTCTCACTCTGCTGGAAAGTGTTCGTCCCTATTTAACCAGCAAGCAGTTAAAATTAGCGATAGAGCGTGCTTTTTAAGGACACGGATTTACTAGAGAACGCTAGAGGCACAGCGCCGCTACCTTCGTTCACTCCAGTTCCATCACAGGACGAAATGGTGACTCGTAGGTCAGTGTTTGACAACAACAACCATCCAGGGACGAGTTCCTTAACAGAAACCAGTAAGAGTCCAGTACAAACTGTTACCGCCAAGAAACCAAAGGCAAGGGAGACATCAAAGATTCAAAGTTTCTTGAATGCAGCAGCAGATGATGGTTATTCGGAGCAGAGTGCGTTGGCTGCTTTGGCGAGTTTGGGTGTTGATGCAGAAGAAGACGACTTGCTGTTATGGTGTCTAGAAGAAGCCGACGAAGCTGATATCGAGGCTCTTTACGAAGATGCAAAGCGAAATCCCATGATCGCGTGAGAAGTATTCTCAGATGATGTCGAATCTGTTGAGCAGGAAATGCTAGCTGAAGATTTAGGGTATGTTAGTAATAAGAGCAAAGTTAACTACGATGCAACAGGAAACATAATTGAAGATTACCACACAGTATTTCATCATACTCAATCAACAATATTAAATTACAAGAGAAGAGCTATTGTCCCTATTTACGTAGGATACCAGTTATAACAGTTGTAATTTGCTGTCAAGAGCAAAACCATTATTTTTGCTATAGTTCAAAACTTCAAATTTTTCTTAATTGTCACTGCCATTTGTGTTATAACAAGGTTAATTTAGGCAGGGTAACTTTTCAGTCGCAATCGCATTGCCAACTCACTTTGTGTTAAAATTACTAGATAAGGATTACAACCTCTCTTTTAGTCTCCCATGTTTTACACGCAGTGTCTCATGATAATTCTTTTGTTATGCAGTCCTCATCCATACCTGTTCTTCAATCAAGACCACATAACTATGACGTTTCTTGGTTTCTTCATCAATTCTGCTGGTGATCTTGTTGACCCACAAACAAGTCAAACTTTGGAGAAAGGTTTAATGTCGAAACCATTGCGAAATGGACTGCAGGCCCAACGTGTCGATTTTGCAACAAACATAGAGACCTCTCGCAAGTAAGTGCTGGACATTAAACCCCATTTGTCTTGCATACATAGTTATTACAATTAAGCTTGGTTCCTTATTTAGGATTTCGGATAGGGTTTAGTTATTACTGAAATGTTCGACGCACAGAGTGTAATTGATTAATTGTTTCTTATGAAGTGTGTAGTAAGGCTGGTATAATTCTTGGATGAGAGGTCCACGGCATTTGGCATCCACAGGGAGAGTTCAACCGCCTTTGATACACCCCATATTAGACAAAACTGGTGAAATTTCGCCAAAACGAAATAAAAACTTGATACATTTTAAGAAGCATGTTTACTCTGTTTTAGAGAGGACAAGATAAATCACTTATGCTCTGTGATGGGTGTAAACTGGTTGTACGATCCAGACAGAACCTATGAACTAACCACAGACAACGTCGAGAAGATTCTAGCTATTCATATGAGGTTCAGGTAAGCACTATTTTGGTTATTACCGCAGATTAAGCTCAGATCATGCAAGGTTTAGAGCAAATTCAACTCTCAGTCTACATGCATTGCGACGACACTTAAACACATTTAGCACAAACTCCAAACATCTTTTCAACACCCTTTACCCAACGAAGAAAATGGGCTTTCACTCACGTGTGAGCTTTGCAATTTACAGATGTAATATCCCTGTGATCGTGATGGGTGAGACTGGTTGTGGAAAGACCCGTCTAATTCGATACATGTGCGGCTTACAAGCAGGTCCTGAAGGACCCCGAAACATGCTTCTTGTTAAGGTAGGTTGACTACTAAAATTCAATATTTTTGGTCGTACTATCTGGAGATTGTAGCGGTGGTGAAGTGGATGGTGATGTAGATGTAGATGTAGATGTAGTTGTAGATGGGGATGCTGCTGAGGTACTGATTGTGCAGGTTTTGTTGCGGGCTCATCTTGATGGTGACGGTGGTGGTGGATGTGATGGTAGCAATGAAGATTTAGGTGGTTTTGGTGGTTCTGCTGTAGGCAGTTGTGGTGCAGGTCGCGTTTGTAGAGGGGGTGGTGTTTGTAGTGGTGTTGGTGGCGCTGTTGGTGGTGACAGTGTTGGTGTTGTGAATGGTAGCGTTGTACCTGGAAACAGTGATGTGGGGGAGGAAAAGATGGTGGATAGATTTGTGTGATAAACATGATGGGATACACTGTGGGGGTGGTGACGGTGCTACCTCTAGTGGTGGTGATAAAATGGGGAGAGCTGGGTGATGGTGCTTCTTCTAATCGTGGTTGAAAACGTTCAGCTGTTGGTGATAGTGTTGATAGTGCACTTGCTGCAAATGGTGGTGGTAATAATTTTGATGTCGCCGGTTAAGCTGCTGATGGTTGGCGAAATATTGAGACTGGTCTTGGAAAGAACTAAGTGAAATGTTTGGTCGTAATATAAGGGCTCGTGCCACTGGAAATGGTGGCTGTCGTATTGGGGTAGTGGTGCTGGTTTTGGTGCTGCATCCCGTGGTGGTGAATGATGTATTAATAAAGATATAGGGGTGGTATTGACTATAGTGCTGCTGCCAATTATGGAAGGGTTGCAAATTATACTGCTTATGGTGGTGGTGCTGGTGGTGAAACAAGTAGCACCATTGGTTGTGGTGGAGGGAGTGGTGCTGATGCTTGTGTTGCACAGTACTCGATTGGGGTGTTTCATGATAATCTCCTCTCACGAAGAAATATTTCTTTGTTTGCATATTTTTTTAGATTTCTTTAAGGCAGAATTTTCAACCTTTTTTTGTACCTCTAACAGAAAATAAGTTTAACATAATATAACCCCAACTCATGAGGTCATATACACTCCTTTCCGTCATGAAACATTATTTTCTTTCCAAGGTTCATGGAGGTACAACATACGAAGATATCACGCTTAAAGTTAACCAAGCAGAAGAAATGGCTCGCGAAAATCAAGACAAGAATATTGACACGGTTTTATTCTTTGATGAAGCTAACACTACAGAGGCACTGACCATGATTAACGAAGTTATGGTGGACCGAAGAATCAATGGTCGGCCTATTGGACAAGGATTAGAAAGGCTACAGTTCATAGCTGCCTGTAATCCTTACAGAAGGTAAACTATGTGTTATCCGCTCCAACTTAAACTGAGCGACAACAACTGCACTTTGAATTCCACAAAATGCGTCGTGTGTCTCGGGAGGGAATGTTTATAGTAAAGTGGCGTTTCGTCATATATTTCTAGGCACACAGATGATATGATCCACAAGCTGGAGTCAGCTGGTCTTGGATATCACGTAAAAGCAGATGAATCAGAAGATCGGCTGGGTAAGGGACGTTTTATCGTTGAATTTCTCTACAGTTTTGTCACTGTTTCGAAGAATTTTGTTTACAAATTGAGAATTGATTTTTAGAAAATACGAGTATTAACGGATCTATTGATCACAGGTGGTGCCTTATTCAGAAAAATTGTTTGAGAAGCTTCAATCTTGAATGATTCCTAAAAGGGAAGGAACTTGCGCAGCAATGTACTGTCCCATCGACAGTTCCCTGTTAACTGTCTCCTGGCAATTGAGACAGGCTCTGATCATCTAAGTTGGGTTATACCCTGAAATGATATAGTTGTGATCAAGAACAGAGGTATTATGTCCAACATGCGATGCGGTAAAGCTTGCCAGAGACTTAAACAGGCGCTTGGTAATTGATATTTGTAATAATTGTTCTCTTCAGGTCATATCCCGTTGCGTCATCTCGTCTATCGTGTACACGCCCTCCCAGGGAGCATGCGCCCGTTGATATGGGATTTTGGTCAACTGAAACCAGATGTAGAGAGACTGTATACTAACCAAATTGTCAGCCGCTACGTAAGTGTATTCTAGTAGTCCTGATGATCTTTCTAACCCATTAATTATCAGTCTTCTGTCGGGAAAATGAATCTAGAAATGCATGACATGTCCAAGAAAACTGAGTGAACCTTTTCACTGAATCCACGATGTGGTAAGTGGAAGAAAACATTCTGAATCATGATACGAAGCCGGAGTACAGCAAGTACGGCATTTAGTTACTTGTATCCCTCTGATCTTAGGAATAAATCGTTGCAGCAACAGACCATCAGTCTACCACGTTGTTGATTCGTCTTTTTCCGTTTTCTGGTAGAACCAAGAGAGTAGATAGCACACGCCATTTAACTCCCCTAGAATATCGTTCATTCAATTTTATGTCACTAATTTGGATTTCGGTTCTCTTTTTGACAGATTCTTCACGAAGGCCAACTAGCAGGAGACTTTTCGACAGTGAAAGCAGTCGCTGAGGTATTGGCAACCTCGCAAAAATATATGAGAGATCAATCGGTGCGTAAAACGTTTTGCAACACTTTTTGTGCATTAGCGGTTCTGTGAAGAATTTGCTTTTCAATTGCTCGGTTGCGGTGCCAGCCCAAAGAGAAAACAACCTTTTTTTTTATTTTAAGGATGAGTGCAGCTTTGTTAGTCTTCGTGATGTCGAAAGAGCCATGCAAGTGATGGTCTGGTTTTATAAGCACGTGGACGCACTCGGAAGACTTATGAGAAAGGTGATCTCTGAGCAACGAAGGGAGGAAGGTTTAGACGTCAATGAAGATGAGGAGGAGGAAGAGGTGATATCGAAGCCATTGACATTTTATGCTCCACTTAATAGATCAGCCACTGGCAAATTTAGCATCGTCCCTAGAGCAAGACGAAAATAATATTTGCGTCTTAAGGAATCCCAGAGAAAGTCAGAATGAGCTATTTTTGAGTTCTAGAAATCCTCTCTATCCGGTGGAAAACGTCTGTTGAAAGTCAGTTTTTTTGTAGGAAAATTGGACTCGGAAAGAAGGTACACTTTGAAAACATTCCTCGGTTTGGGCACTTCGGAAGTACCTTATTATTGTATGATGCAATGATTCGGAGTAAAGCGGTAAACATTTGTTCCTCTCGGCACCAGCTTGCTTAAACCCCAAATAGAAGTGTGTAACAACGAGAAACTCCAATTATGTTTGAGGGGTGTTAAGAGCGGGACCGCGATAATCCTATTGTAATATGATACATTCATTTGGTTATTCCGCAGGATTCAATCACCCCTCTTACCCGTGCCCTGGTACTCGCCATTGGTGTCTGTTATCATGCCAAGCTTCAGGAGCGGCGTAAACAATATCGTATCGTCGTGGCACGCAGCTTTAAGGCGCCATGTTTGCTTCCAGGTGGTCACAAGCAGATCCTTCAAGAGATTTCAAGGTATGACAAAGTCAATTGCAACACATGGTCTGCTTCATGCGTTAATATTAATGAAGCGGCTTCTTGGACCTTCTACGTACCCGAATAAAAAAACATTTATGGTGACCAGTCCATTGATAATTCTAAAACATGTATTTTATCAAGACAAAAAGTTTCGGTCCATATTTTTGTGGTGTCAAGAATAAGAGTTATGGAGTTTGGGTTTTTACTCATATCTTTACTCTCACGTGCGCTAGTTCTCTACAGATCCATGCAAGCAATTTATCTCCTGTGTGCCCATTTTTGTCTCTGGCAGTTGTCAAAAAGCTGTGCTAAACGAGTTGGCACTCGGCCCCAACATCGCACGCAACACAGCTTTGAGTGAAAATGTGTTTATGATGGTGGTGTGCATTGAGCTCAGGATCCCATTATTTGTGGTTGGAAAACCAGGCAGCTCAAAATCTTTGGCTAAGACAGTTGTTGCTGATAACATGCAAGGCGATGCTGCAAGATCTCCGCTATTCAAGACCTTCAAGCAGGTTATATGGCCTTTTAGATACACTGTTATTTCATTTTCCTCTTTCCCCAGGTGGAAGGCCACAAGGATTGACGGAATGGGAATTCGTAGGAGATATGTTGATCTCGCGGTATTTAGTGTTCTGGAAAGATCCAAGTTCGTGCCCCGCCGGGCTAGGTTATTATTGTTGTTATTATCGTTGGGTTATTATTATCATTATTATTATTATTATTATTATTATTATTATTATTATTATTATTATTATAGACTTTGGGCGAGATAACAGTTTCTCGCTGCACCAAAGAGTTCGAATGGTGACCAGCATATTTTCAGGGAAACTCGACGAATCGCAAGGGGATATTGGTCAACCATTCGCTATCTGAGCACAATCAGTTTTACGCGCTTCGTGTAGTTTACGTCTTCTCTACGTTTTTTAATTGGGAGGTTTACAATAAAGGGGAATGTTAATTTCAGAGTCACACCAAGCAACCTTAAAACCCCTTCCTCCCCAAAAAGTGTTGAATCCTTAGCATGCTTATGTTTACCTCAAGGTCAGTTTTTAAAATACACTTCAATTATATATTTCATTGTAGGTCCACATGGCATCATATCAGTGCAGTCCTCTTTCAACCCCTGAGGGTATCGTGGCGACTTTCAAGCAGTGTAGTAAGTTACAAGAAGGAAAAATTAAAACCTCAGTTAGATGTAACCAATAAGACTCCTTATCTAATTTACCATGCGACCTTCATATCATCACAAAAAATGGGTAGTCATAAAAAATTAATCCATTTCAAATTTTGAGGCATACAGTGAACTATAGAAATCTGTAATTAAAATTTCTCAGTAAAGATGATCCTCGCAAACAAAACTCCTAAGAAGATAATTAGGAAGGGTATGCAGGTTGAGGAACCATTGCGGAAAAAAGTTTGCAGGTGCATTCTCGTCATTTGTCTTCATGCATCCTTTCCTGACTAAATAGTTTTAATATCTGAAGCATTGACGAGCATTGACATCCCTGTCCTCTTGTTGACAGAATCCTGGCTGATAGCCAATCATATTTATGTGTTGTGAACTCTTGGGCTTCGTTGCTCTACCCAACAGTCATTTTGCTGAAAAGAAGGGACTGCTTGTAATCTAAGTGGTTGAGTGAGGGTCAAAAGGAAGGGAAAAGCAAGGGTGGGGTTAAGTCTTCTCCCCTTCCCCCCTCCACTCCCATCTTCCACACTTGTTCTAAATTAAACTTGGCCGGTTGAATAAATGACTGTGAGCTTGTAACTTCAACTTGCCCTGCTAAGATGACAGCACCACAGGTTACTTAGGGTGGGATGTGAACCCTATTTACTATTGGTTTTCTAACAATGAAGGGTAGCCAAGATTAATTTTTTTCCAATTTTTTTTAAACTTTTTAGATGGTTTGACCTCTAAAACTTACAATGGTCACTCCAAGTTGGTTGCTTGATATCAAAACTGATTGCTTTGATAAGAGCTCAATAATTAATGCCCTTTGGGAACCTTTTGATACCATAACTTTACATTCTGCTCTTTTTGTCATAAATTTTGCTGACAAGCTAGACAACACTGATTGTTTTTTTACTTATTTCGTCGTTAAGGCTCAGAAGTAAGCTAAAATTTGCCAACCTTAAGGCGTGCCCTCTAGAGTATTTGAAAAATTTAGAAAGAGTCTTATAAAGCCTAATTTA